AAAAAAAAAAAAAAAAAAAAAAGTCATTTGTGCCCATTGCAGGCTGAGGAAAATGTAGGAAAAAGAGGTAAGAACCTGCAGACCGTGGTGCATGAGCACACTTCCTGTCCCCGGGTGCTTCACAGGAAGTGACTCTTCTGGGCCACTCGGTTCACCTCAAAGACAGAGCACACTCTGATCTCTGGGGTGAGCTGATTTGCTGGTGGGACTCTGATGTGAAAAGTCATGTGTGCTGGGGAAGCCGTGCACCCTGCTCACAGCACAGCCACCATCCGCAGTCATGTGGCACAGGCCTTGCCCTCAACTCTACATCTAAACCCAGTGTCACCAGCGACTACAGGAAGGGCAGCCAGACACATGGCCACCCTCCTGTTCACATGTGGCTGTGGAAAATAAACAGGCACATAAATAAATAAATAAGCTTGCTTCTGTGCGTTAGTGTGGATTACTTGTGAGGAGGACAGGATTATTCTTTTAGCTTGCACGACAAGCTACGTGGCTGTGTTAACAATGTGAAGTGAAACAAAGGCATCCCTCTTATGTCGTCCCCTCATTTAAAATAGCTCATCTCGGATGAATCAGCTTGCAGAGCCCTTTCGGTGGAGAAGAGGTTGTGGCTGCTGCACAGACAGACCGACCAACTCCCAAAAGCTCACACACTTACCCTGGGGAAGGTGGAGACCAAGCTGGGATGCTGTCTTTTTCCTGTGGAGATGAACCAGGGATGCCACCTTTCGCCTGAAAAGGAAATGCATGAGATGAAGGGAAGCTGTTGACAAGAGCTTCTGTTACTCCAAATTCAAGGCCATTTTAGTCGGTTTTGAGAAATGGCGCCTGAGGTAACGGGGGTCCTGGGCAAGGCCCTCGTGGAGCAGAACAAGCCATGTGACGCGTGCATGTCTGTTTCATTCCCTTTTGGGGTAGAAGCCGGGGGTGGGAAGCAGTCACATGTAGGTATTTATGTAAGTCTTGTTTTGAGCTAGGGTCCTCCCTATGTGCAAAAGCTGTCAGTGATCCTCTCGCCTCAGCCTCCTGGTTTTCCAGGCTTGCTCCGCTGCAGCTGGCAGCCTCTTTCTAAAGGACACCCTTGCTTTCCTGGCAGAGTCTGCCCTCTGTCCCCAGCACTCCGTGTTGTCCACCATCCTGGTGGCACATGGTGGCCTCACTGTGGTGGTTTCCTGAGTGTGGGGTGACATGAACCTTCTCCTCTGCCACCCAGGGGTCTGCATTTCAGATCTTCAGTCCATTTTATGAACTGGTTGTTTCACGTATAACTGACTTTTGAAAGTTCAAGTATATGATTTAGAAATATTTTGTCAGTGGCTTATACTTCATTTTCTTATTGGCAACTTTTAAAAAGCAAGTATTTTCAATTTTGGTGATGTCTAAATTACCACTTTTTTTTTTAGTAGACATTGATTTTGATGAAATATTGATGGAAACTTTGTCAACTTCAGGTCACAAAGAATTTGGGTTTTTTTAGAAGTGTTGAAGTTTGGCCTTCTCAGGTTCCTGATTGGCTTTGTTTAGTGTAGCTCAGAGGCATTTCTGTGAAGAAATGTGGTGTGAACAAGTCCGTATCTCTTTAACCATATGTATGTGGCTGAGTGTAGCGTCCCCAGTTGTTGCAGGACCACTAGGCAAAGATATCCTCTGTCCCACTCCACTACCTTCCAACCCTTGCTAAATCAGCTAGCCAGCAATGAGACGCTTAATTCTGGACCTTTATTCTGTTCCACTTATCTGTATGTCAGCCAAACATGTTATTTACAGAATTATTCTGGCCACTATCATGATCTAGGTCTTCTGACTTTCCACATACATTTTAACATCAGCTTGTGATTTCACCAAAAGACCCAAAACAAACAAAAACTCCACAAATGTCTGTCATTTTCCCATCACTGGGACACAAGCTGACACTCACAATTTAAAGGAGAGAGGTTTATTTGGCTCCCAGTTTCAGTGGGTTCAGTCCACGGTTGGCTGGCTCCAAGACAGAAATGGCATGGTGGAGGGGTCTGGAGGAGGACAGCTGCTCACTCCATGGCAGCCAGCAAGTAGAAAGACAAAGGAGGAGCTGGGGACAATAATACCCCTTCAGGTCATATCCCAGTGACCAATTCCACCCAGGCCCAATATCCTAACAGCACAGTTAGCTCTGAACTCATCCATAGGTGAATCCACTGCTGTGTACAGTGTCCCCAAGGTCTAGTCACTTCCAAAAACCCCACCTCTGAACATGAGGCTTTTGAGGGACACACACATCCAAACCACGTAAAGAGGCCAGATTGTAGATCAGCAGAGGATGCTGTTTTCATGATAGCTTTCCAATCTACAGACATTGTTTATCTTCCCATTTAAAAGATTGTCTTTAACTTCTCTCAGCCACAGATGGTTGTATTTAGTGTGCAGATTTGCACCAGTTTTGTTAAGCTTGTTCCTTTTGATAACATTTTGGGTTTCTTGTGTGCGTGTGGTACTGGAAATTTAGTTTAGGACCTCATGCTTGCCAGGCGGACTTGGCGCCATTGAGCTAAATCCCCAGCTCAATAATAGTTTTAAAAAGATAACAGCTTTCTGACTGCTAGTACATGGAAGTGATTGGTGTTGTGTCTTGGTGTTATGCCCTACATTTCCATTAAGTTTCTTCATTATTCCAACTTGCTTATGTGTTTTTTAGGATTACGTTGCATGAACAAAGTCTACCCTTGTATTCTGTGGGCCTTTCTTTTGGGACTTTAGTACATCCAAGTGGGGACAGAGGACACACTTGCCTTGCACTCAGTCTTAGGGGGGAGCATCCAGTCTTCTGTATGAAGTGAGACTGGTACTACGTGGTTTTTGTCACTGTCTTCTTTTTATTTCTAGGTTGTTATGATCTTTAAAAAACTATAAGATGTTTGATATTGTCCAATCCACTTTCTGAATGAATTGCCAGACACATAAAGGTTTTTGTCCTTTATTCTATTAATATTTTGCTTTTTATAACTGATTTTCAAATGCTAAACCAATGTTGCATTCCTGGAATAAAATCATTAATCCTAGTATACAATCCTGTATATTCTTTACTAGACTTGGTTTGCTAATATTCTGTGAGTAGTTTTTGCCATTTTTCATGACTACTGTTGGTTATGGCAGCTTCTGTGATGATGCCCTGAGTGAGTTAACTGTGTGGTACTCTCCTCTGCCTTCTGAAAGACTGTGTGCAATTGGCATTTCTTTCTTAAAATGTTTAGTAGAAGGTGGGCATGGTGACATATGTCCGTAATCCCAGCACTTTGGAGGCTGAGGCCAGCCTGGACTGCAGGATGACACCTTAACTCAATTAAAAAAGGGGGGGTAGCTGTTATCCACGAGTGCTGGGTTCTCTCTCTCTCTCTCTCACCCCCCCTTTTCTTTTCCTATTGGTATCAGTAGGGATGATATGAGCCTTAAATGTCATATACTGTAGGACACACACACACACACACAAAAGAGAAAAAGGACAAAAGAGGAAAACAGGAGAATCTGTAATTAAAACCTTCATTCAAAGGTAAATTTTGATGTTCAACCCCTCTCCCACCTGGCAAAATTCCAGCCTCAGTGAGGGTCAGCACTGTAACACCAGCTGGGTGTAATTTACTGCGTTTTCAATTTTTCACTTCTTTAAAGACTCTTTCTTGCTTCTTAGATGTTTCAGTTGACGTAGGTTCAGGAAAACATGCGGGTCTACGCCCCCTTCCAGCAGCCGGGGCCTCAGCTACCCATGACGTAGAAAGCGTCTACATGACCACAGCCCAGCTCACCAAGGGTCTGGACACATGGCTGCTATGGCACCGTTCATTCCCTGTCCCACAGGAGTGCCTGCTGGTCAGTCTGTGGTCATCCGCCAGCCCATTCAAAGAGGTGAGTCTACCGCCCAGAGGAAATTCCTTCTGGCTCCATCCCAGAGCACACCTGAGGAGAGGGGCATCCCCAGGAGCACAGGCACTGCCTCAGGTGAGAAAGGCCCCCTCGTGCTGCTGTTTGAGAAGCACTTTTGCCTGGCCCTGGGGATTTTCAGGGGTGCGGTTTCATCTCTGTAGTGCTTGGGGGTGAACCACCCCTTCCTGCTGATCTCTGCTTTGTATTGATTCTGATCGCATTCTTCATTCAAAACCTATGTTCGCCTTCTGAAGTTCAGCTCATCATCCTCAGTAGCTTTGAAGTCCTGCTTGGTGATGGCTTCGGTCCTGAGCACGGTTGTGCTTGGCAGCCTGGAGCAGGGGAAGGAGTCTCCTGCTGCAGCTGAGGTGGCCGGGCGTGGTGGCCCAGCCTCACCTCTCCCCGGGACTCCTGCAGGCTGAGCAGCACCATGCCACCCACAGTGCAGCTGCCCTCAACACGCCCAGCCTGCAGGGTCCTGAGCAGCCCCTTGCTGCTCCAGTCACTGCCAGCGCCTGAGCTTCGGACCTCTTCAGTTGGTCCTTTGCTCCGGCTGCTTGTTAGGTGTCAAGTTGGACCTTCGCTCCCTTAGAGTCAGTTGTGACCACATGGTCCACATAAGTGGAAAGGATGCTGCCTTTCTGGGTGAAAGACACACCAGGCTTGGGGGCTCCTATGAGGCAGAAATGTTTTGGAGACTTGATCCCGTGGTGCGGCCACACCTCGAGGCTGCCAGGTAAGGTGTGTTTGATGTTTGTGAGCACAGAGGTTTGTTTGACTGGTGGCCTGTGGGGCCCCAAGTTCTGCCCACATGGAGGAAGGAAGCCTTGCTTTCTTCTGGCCTTGGCCCCCATGCCACCCACTGCACAGTGACATGGCCCAAGGGGGTCGGTGTCCCCGAGTTGGGCGGCAAGCATGCTCTCTGTCCACAGCTTGCAGAGGAGGTTTGGGCCACTTGATTGACAGATTTGCAAACAGGGGCCACAGTTAGCTTGCACCTTTCTGCCCCTGATGGTGTCTGTGCAGGGCCAGCAGGCCGTGGAGGGAGGGCTATGGAACTGGGGCCCTCCAGGAGTTGCGTGGCTATGGCTCTTCTGTGGACTCACAACCCCACTCACAGCAGCAGGTAGCTGAGAGGCTGTGCCTGACTCAGCCTGTGGTGGCGTGTGCTAGACGTGGTCGGTTTCACCAGTCCCACTGCAGTCCAGCCTCGGTGTCCCCGCCTGGATATAGCAAGGATGGCCTGGGAGCTGGCTGGTCCCAGTGCATCTTTCCTGGGTGGACCTGGTCCCTACTGAGGGCCTGGACAGCACAGGAAGCCATCGTATAGGGGGGCCACGGGGGCCACAGGGTCCCACTGAAGTGAGCTGGATGCTGACCAGGAGCAGGCTCTGGGGAGCCGGCTGCACTGCTCAACAGGGTGGGGGCCCACTTCCTGAGGCCACACATAAACACACAGGCAAGTACACAGCACACCTCACACCACACGGACACTCTACACACCACACGTGTGTGCATACTGCACACCTTACATGTGCACTTATATATATATATGTATCACACACAGACACTACATATCATGTAGATATACACGACACACATCTCATACACACACCCCACCTGGGATGAGACGTGGAGGGACAGGCACACACCTGTGGAGCTGCCTCCTCCACCTGCAGCACCGGCTGTGTCCTCCCTGGCGGCTCTGGCCGCTGCTGGAAGTGGGTGTGCTTGACGTAGTCAAATGTGCTCTTGTTCTTGACCACTGGGAAGGAGAGGGCAGAGGGCAGCTCAGTGGCAGCCATGCCATGCCCACCCTGGGCCCAAAAGCGGCCCCTGTGCTGAGTCTCGTGAGGCGGGGATGGGGCACAGGTGTGGGTGCCAGGCGGCCGGGCACAGCAGTGGGGTGTGGTGGGCCATGAGGCTGACCCGTCTTTGTCAGGGGCTGAAATGTGGGCGGGCACCTCAGGTTACCGAAAGCACAAATGGGCCAGATGTGGCCTCATTCTGCAGGGGGCCTGCCTAAGATCCTCTTTCCCTGAAGCCCACACATTTGAAGCAGATGGTCTGCACTTATTTCTGGAATGCACAGGGCGTCCACAGAGCTGTTTCCAGGTCGAGGTGCGGAGTGGGTGGCAGCTGGCACTGGACTTGGTGAGTGCGGGGATTCAGCCTCCCGCCAGAGGTGTCTGGCTCTTTCCCAGCCTCCAGGCCTCAGAGCTGTGTGGGGGCTGAGCACCAAACCTGCCCCCAGTGCAGCGCTTTAAATGTCCCTTTGCGTGCCTGTCAGTGCCAGGCCATCTGCACCAGTCTTATGTGCCTGGCTACAGGGCTATACAGCCCAAAGCTTCCTGGGAAGCATCCCGACCGGGCTGCCAGGCTGAGGCTGAGTACCTCAGACCCCAGGTGAGAACCCTGAGGCTGCACACTGTGTCCTCCCAAGTGACCAGGTCCAGTGGCCAGCTCAAGTGGCCTGGAGAGCCCTCTCCTTCCCCAGCCTCCTTCAAAATGCTGCCTCCTCCACTCACACTGGCGCTCCTCCATCTCTGCCATGGGCCCCAGGCCCCTGTGGCTTCCCGGGAGTGTGCCCACTCTCACCGCTTTACACAGAGCCTCACAGCACGGTGCCTGGAGCACGGGCCAGACTGGACCCTTCCCTCTCTGCAGCTCTGCCCTCCTGCCTACGATGCCCTGAGCAGCTCTCCTCTGCGATGCCCTCTGCCCTGAGCCCTGCCTTGGAGCCAGCTGACTACAGACTGAAGCCTCAACAAACTGTGAGTCAAATAAACCTCTCCTTCCTAGGGTTGTAGTATTGTGTGTAGTGTCCTGGCAACAAGAAAGTAACTGAGACATTTGTTATCCCGTCAACAAACACAACCTGAACACCTTCTGCACACAGGCAGCACTGGCCAGGCCTCAGCACAGATTCTAAATACAGTCAGAGCTGCACCCACGATGCTGAATCCAGTGGTCTGCATCGTTTTCATTTTTACAACTCCACATCACAGAACCCTGTGAGCCAGGGGAGACACTGCTGTGGGGTGGCCCCGGGCCAGGCAGGGTCTGCGTGGGCACAACAGAGTCCAGTGGGCCTTAAGGCCTTTGGGTGGGGATAAGGCAGTCTCCAGGAGGAATTTCAGCCCAGGCCCCCAGAGGCTTCACCACTGACGACCACGGCAGGAGGAGGAGGAGGCTGTGCTGTGCCCAGTGAGGAGACCTCAGCTTCACTCTATAACCTCTACCTGGTGCTTCGCTGAACCCCGCTGTTCTCTCTTCATAGCACCCTGTTCTGGTCTGATGTTCCTATTCTTTTGCCTCTGAATATTCTAAACTCATCTCAAAGACTCATGTTTCTTGTTGGTCCTGGAATGTGACAGCTGGACCCGGTGCCCTTCTCTCCCTGTTACTTGACCCCTCTGCCATGAGCTTGTGTCTGGTGTGCAGCCTGAGGGCCAGGATGGGGTAGGAGCAGCTAGGTGGGTACGCACTCAGGTAGATGTGGAAAATGAACAGGTGCCCAAGCAGCAGGAAGCTGACTATGCCCACAAGCAGCACTCCGCCCATCATGCAGAGGGCCACAGGAGTCTTCACGGCCACATGCCACTTGGGCAGGAACAGCAGCCATATGGTCACGGCACTGATGTCTGTGGAGACAGAGACATGGGCGTCCACATCGAGGAGGTAGCAGCCCATGGGGTCCCCACAGCTGTCCCCCCTGCAGTCCTGACTGGTTGCCTAAAGAGGGGGTGGGTGACAAAGCCCCCAGAGCCTCACCCATCGCCTGCTCTGTCCCCCAGACCCAGACCTCACCCCCAGCCTGCCACCTTTGGAGACTGTGGGCCATGCCTGGCAAGATGCTGCTAGGGTGGGGGTCTCCAGGGACCCCAAAACCATTGCTGCCAGAATCAGGTACAGGGAATGATGGGGGCTGTGTGGGCAGACACCAAGGATGGGGATGCTTGGAGGATGCCGGCTATGCTGCCGTGCTCAGGTCACGAGCCCTGTGCAGGCTTCCAGACAGTGACCCAGGAGTCGCTTCATCCCACACTCAGTGAGCGGAATGCAGCCACCATGCTACTGTGGCAGGACCAGCATGTGACAGAGCTACCTGCTCCTGCCGCTTCTGCGGAGGCCATTCATGGGTCTCAGCCCAGGCTGCAGCCACCTGGGCCTCTCCTTGCACTCCACAGGAGTCCAAGGTCCAGATGAAGTGGCAATTGCTTCAGAAGACCCTTTGTGACCAGGGAAGAAAGATTGTGGGGGCTCCGGGATCATGAGACTGCAGCCACCAGGCAGAGCCCACATGTAGAAAGAAGTCCAAGGTAGATGGTACAGTTCCACCTGGAACTCCCAGAGCTGTTCTTGAAGGAACAAGCACACCTACCACCTTGGCTGGGAATGCTCCAGCATGGGACAGCAGGCTCCACCCTCTCTACTGAGGGTGTGCATAGTCAGAGCTGTTCCCGGGCCTGTGTCCTGCAGTCACTACGACAAATGACCGTAAGTCAGTGATGCTTCAGCCGCAGACCTTCACCTCACACTCTGAGGCCCCAGTCTGAGTGACAGCACGGGCAGATGACCTCTCTCCAGGGCTCAAGGGGCATCTTCCTGCCTCTCCTGGCTCTGGGGCTCCAGGCATCCCTGGGTGTGGTGGCTGCAGGGTTCCAGCCTTGGCCTCCATCCCCAAGTGGCTCTGTGCGTCTGCATCTCCTCCTCTGCTGCTTGGAAGGACAGTGTCCCTGGGAGTGGACAAGCTGGGCAAGATCCTCATCTCAAAATCCCCTGTCATGTCTGCCCTCAGTCCTGGAAGTGGACACACCTTGGGGGCCACACCCAGCCAGCCACACCTTTCCCTCAGTGTGGACTTCACTGTCCACAGCCCAGGCTCCTGGACCTGTGGTCACAATTAGATCTTGGCCGCTTTCTGCTTTTAACCTCCTGGTGGTGGCTCTTGGAAGGCAGCCCCTGGTCCACTGTGCCTGCATGGCCTCATGGGGCCCCAACACATCTCAGAACAGGCTGTGGAGAGGTCAGAGGGTACAGTGCACCTGATCTCAGGTGTGGGCTCCCGGGGCCTCAGGAAGCCCTTGGCTAATGTTGGTTACAGATTAAAGTGTCCCCAGTGGTCTCGTATTTGGAGGCAGAGCCTGGGTGGAGGTGGTCACTGGGAGGGGACCTGCAAGGGTGTGTTCTTGTGCACAGCTTCTCTCCCCTTTGCTTCCTGCCCACCATGAGGTGAACAGCTATCCTCCACCAGGCCCCTGCGCCATGATGTTCCTGCCTTGGAGCAGTCAGCCATGGACCGAATCCCCCCAAACTGTGAGCCACACGGAGACCCCCCTTTACATTGGAAGTGTCAGATGTCTGTCCTAGCAATGGGTCAGGTGACTGATATGCATGGACGTGGGGCTACCTGAAAGCTGGGCTCGCTGCTGTAGATGGACTCCTTCCTGGAAAGGTGGCCGGAGTTGAGTCAGGGCTCGCACAGGGTGGCCCAAGCGGGAGGCACTCCACACACTGCGTACCTTTGTAGCTGGGGTCCGTGCGGAGCTTGTTGGGGTTGATGAAGTGCTGGATACAGACATACAGCAAGATGACCTTCACGCAGAGCAGGCCTATCATGGCTGAGGCCACAGAGCAGAAGAAGAACCTGCAGGGGCAGAGTGTGCTAGGGATGCTGGCGAGGGTAAGCCAACCTCATGTGGGCATCTAACGGGGAGGACCTTCAATGATGCCCTGACAACCCATGGGCCACCTTCTAAGTTCTCCAGGCTGACATCACTGGCCACCGACCTCACAGCCATGCCCTTGCTCCCTGGCCCTGTGCCTGAGCCCTTTGTCGGTCTGGACAGGACGCTAGAAAGGCAGTCCACAGTGTTCATCCAAACCCAACAGTGTTCATCCAAACCCAGCAGAACTCGGCAGGGATCCTCCTGGGAATGTGAGAACTTGTCCAGACACCAAGTCCTTTTGTCTTCCTGCCCTGGTTTCCACATCCCTTGCTGGCACCAGCGAGGCTGTGCTATTCCCAGGGCCCTGCAGACCATGTCTGTTTTGGGCTAAATCACGCTCCGCTCCACTGTGCTTCCTGCTTCCCGGCAGAGCCTCAGGGCCCACACAGTGGCATCTGTCCCTGCAGGCTCTTTGGTAGGTCTGAGGATACAGGCTCTCCTGGCCCGTGCCTGGAGCAGCCCTTTCTGTGCCATCGCCTGGCAGCCTGAGGACCCATGCTGGGCCCTGCTAGCAGGCCACCTTCCTGGGGGATCTGAGCCAAGGCTGTGTCCATAGCTGTGGACCCCAAGTGCCGTTCAGTGACCTGGCTGCTCCCTACACGCTCACTGCAGGCAGGGGAAGCAAAGGCCACTGAACCTGTGGTTTATGTGATGCTCGCAGCCACCAGGGTCTCTGTCCCCCACATCGGGCCTGCATGGAGGAGGGGCACTATGTCCTCCTGGCTGTCTTCGTGAAGACCAAGCTGATGGACGCTTGGCCCAGACAGGGCCCCAGAGCCCCGTGGATCCATTGCAACCACAGCCCGGACACTCTTGGGTGCCCCAGGTCCACCCACTGAGCTGGGAGGGCTGCCTAGGTGTGGAGAGGGCAGATGGCCCATGACAGTAAGTCCAGGAGGCCCAGCTGGTTCCTCCAGGACAGGCCAGGGTCTCAGGGTCTGGAGTTGTGGGCACAACCAGGGACAGCTCCACCACACAGTGCAGGATGAATCAATGGGGGCACTGAGCCTTCTGTGTGGGGATCGGGACGCGGCTTCACGAGGGCCCTTCTCCCACGTGCGCATGGTCCATGGCCTCTCACCCCTAGCACCCAGGCCCTGCTGGAGATCCTCCAGGATGCACCTGGACCCCATGAAGGCCCCTGCGGCTCCCGCCAGCCCTCACCAGTAGTTCCTGCTCCCCACACAGTTATTCAGCCACTTGCAGTGGTGGTCGAAGCCAGCGACACACTTGTTGCAGGAGCTGCAGTGCTTAGCTTTCTCGTTCCTGGGGGAATCGAGGGAGTCTTGTTGGCCCAAATGTTCAGGTGGGGTACAGGGCTGGGACCCCCAGTGCCCTGGGGACCTGAGACCCAAGATGTGACCCAGCAGGGGCTACAGCAGCCTTGCTTCTTCTATCTAGCCTTTCCTCATCTGGAAAACCAGAGGGAGATTGCCTGTGTCCTGGGCCATGGGAGGGGTGAAGGGCATCGGGATGGAGGGCCCAGCCCTTGTTGGAGCACTTGGCCCAGCCGGCAGGCTCAGCTGTCACCTCAAGGGCCGCGGGCTGCAATGCTCGGGGTTGGACTCACACAGTGACCTCACACAGGTGGCAGTACAGGTTCTGGATCACATGTGCGTGCTGGGAGCGGTCGAAGGTGGGCACCGGCTTGGAGTAGTTCCTGAGTCGGACGTTGGCTTCGGCTGGGTCGATGGTGACTGCGGAGAGGTGGACGACCAAGTGGAACAAGAACACTACGGCGGTCACCTGGAGCGTCAAGGAAGACACGGCTGGGCCAGGTGAGGAGGCTGCAGTGCCCCTGGCCCTCTGCTATCTGTGTCCCAGGGATCAGCCCTCTCTACCCTGCCACCACATGTTCACCCCGAGATTCGGGATGGAGCCTGGGCAGCGGGAGGCCCTGCAGTATTCCTGTCCCAGGCCTGGCACCAAGGGGCCTGGGCTCCTGTAGCAGAGGAGGGGCTCCAGCCTCAGCCAGGGAAGGTACCCCGGCAGGATGCATGGATGCCAGACAGGCCACAGGCAGAGGGTCCAATGACAACCATGGCCCAAGTGCAGAGGACCCCACCTCTCAGGGCCGGGGCACGCGTGCACTCTCTCCAGCCAGGCCCAAGTGGCCATGGCAGGAGCAGCTTTGCGCTCTGGCCAGGAGGAGGATGTGCTCCCTCAGGGCTCCACACCCACAGACCCCGTGCTTCCCTCCTCACCTGGGAGACCAAACAGAAAGGTGCGGGGCACAGGGCTCCACCCCCTGCACTGGGCGTTTGGGCCAGGCTGCCAGTGCATGCAGGTTCCTGTGCGGCAGCTAGGGTGTGTCCAGTGGTGGGTGCCCCTTGCCTTGGCAGGCAAGGAAGGCTGGGGTGCAGCCAGTCCCTGCAGGAGCCCTGTGCATCCTCCTGGGGCCAAGGATCACTGGTGGACAGCCAGTCCCCACCTAGATGTCCCCTGTGGACATAAAGCTGAGCCACCTGAGGACCAGGGTTCTACCACAGGGCCCACCTCAGTGCCCAGCCCTGTCCAGAGTGTGGGGCTGGGAAAGCGCTCCACCTTGCCTGAGGAGGGTCCCCTAGGAGTCTCACAGGGGAAGAGATTCTGCTGAAACTGGGATAGTATTGGGGTAGGGCTGGGTAAGCACGGTGGGTCAGGACACCCACAGAAGGGCCCTGGTGCCTGTCACACATGCCCTGACAGGGCACATAGGGCTGGCTGTCCTGTCCTGTGAGGGTCCCTGGCACTCGGTGCCCTCCCATCACCTGCCAACTCCTCCTGACACCAGATGTCTGGTGTAGATGAGGTCTCACAGGCTGCCAGTCAGCTACATGGACTCAGGCGGGAAACTATAGGACCCACAGTGTGGGGCGGCTCCGCACCACTCCCTGCAGGCTGAGCCCAGGCCAAGCTGTCTGTTTGTGTGGTTACTAGGCCAACAGGCGTGAGTGGGAGCCTGTGACACTAGAGGGCAAGGGCTGGGGACACGGATGGTCAGGACTGGTGTGGCTCACTCCCTGGGGCTGGAGCAGAGCTCAGCGGGCTTGGTGGGCAGGGAAGGAGGGTAAGGAGACAGGCTCAGTGGCCACCCACCCCAGAAGAGGCTGAAGAAGGCATGCCCTGTGACAACTGCACATCCTGCTGCGGGTGGGGCCTGAACACTGGGGCCTCAGGTGGAGGTACGGGGCCTGGACCTGCCTGGCAAACACCCCGGGTCTCTCTGGGAACAGGGCTCAGCTTCCTGGGGACCCTGAGATTCCAGGCAGAGTCCCCACCTAGATGTCCCCTCTGTATGAAGCTGAGCCACCTTAGGAGCAGAGTTCCACTACAGGACTCAGCCTCAGTGCCAGCTCCTGCCTGTCAGCCCTGACTCGGGCGTCTCAGGTCAGGAGGACAAAGGTAAGAGAAACAAGGTGGCTGCCAGCTCAGGCCTCCTCTGGAAGTTTCGGCCCGGTCTGGGAGCCGAGAAGCCTGAGCTCAATGTCCTTGGCAACAATCTGTGTTTAGTAAACAAACTGCAAGAGGGAGCCAGCTGTGAGACTCTTGCCCTTCGCCCTCCTGACTCTTCGACCTTGCCGGGTCCTGCAGGCAGGAAGTGAGCAGAACGTGAGCAGGAGGGGAGCCATGAGCCAGTCCCTGGTCCTGTCTCATCTGCTCCCAGGGTGAGCTCTGCCGCAAAACTGGATGGCTCTGAGAGGGCTCTGCAGAAGCCCCCTCGCCTGAAGCTAAGGGCCCCGAGGCTGTGACTCTTCCACCCCAGAGCTGGCAGAGACGTCCCTGGATTACACAGAGCTGTGTGGAGTCCAACCCTGCAGTGCCTTCCACAGGGAGGCAGGTGTCAGCCAGCCTCTGTCAGGGTCTCCAGCTGTGCACTGCCCCTCTTGGAGTAAACCGCACCGCCCTGTCCAGACCAGTGGCTCCCAGCCCCTGGAGCCCTGCGGGCAATGGATGACACTGGCGCCCTCCAGTGGCCATGGCGTGCCCTGAATGGGAAGTGGCGAGCACTGAGCAGGAAGCTGGTCCTGAGGGAGAACAGTGGGAGGTGCAGCATGGAGGGTGGGGTCAGGGGTCTGGGATGATGCAAACCCAGCAGAGAGCAGGTGGAGCTCAGGGCTGTGCACGATGCGAAGACCAAGGCCAGAGAGGTTCAAGGACAGTTGGAGGAAAGACTTAGTCACCCAGCACAGGCATGAGGTCAGGGGCTGAGGGCCAGCAGGGCCCATGCCTGGGAACTGGGACTGACTTGGAAATGGGGTCTCCTCCTGCAGACAGTGGAGGTGAGGTGAGGCCATCGGGGTGGGGCCCTGCCCCAAAGTCTCCCTGGGAGGAGACTGGACAGAGACAGGCTCCCCGGGGCTGGTGGAGGGAGGACAAAGCTGGGGACAGACAGCACCTTCATTCCCCCCACATATACCCAGGCCTCAAACTGAAACAAAAATAACTTGTGAGCCAGACATGGGAGGGTGCATATCTGTAATCCCAGCACCCTGGGAGGCCAAGGCAGAACGACTGAAAGTTTGATCCCAGCCTGGGAAACTTAGGGACTTAGCAAGACTATCTCAAAATGAAAAATGCCCCCTACCCCAGCAGGCCCCAGATGCCATGCTGTGTGGGAGATGCCAGCCCTGCTTGGGCCAGGCTCTGGCTAGAACTGTGAGGCCTCAACCAGGCAGGTCCAGTCATGAAGCCAGACACGACCCAGGGCCCCAGAAATGCTGTGGCCACAGCCTCAGCAACATAGCCACACACGGCCCCAACCCTGGCTGATTCTGGCCCCTACAAATCCTGCCCAGGACTCTGGGGACAGAGGAGGAAGCTGAGATGAGATGCACAGGCAGGGTTCTGAGTCTGGGCTGAGCGTGGGGCCGGCTGAAGACACTGGGTTTTCTAGATTCCCCCCACCCACCACCCATCATGGACAGGAGGCCATGCTGAAGGGCACTGGGGACCAGGGTACTGGTATTGGGAGGGTCTGTGAAGCACAGGGGCCTTGGGATGTGGGAGGACAGAGGAGGGAGAGGCAGCGGGACCCAGGAGGGTGCAGCAGGTCTGTGCACAGGTACAGAGTGCGAGGGGAGAGGCTGCGTGGAGAAGAGAGGGCACCTGATGATGGAGGGGTGTGGCTGGCAGGGGCCACATCTGCAGGGCACAGGGCAGCTGCACTTCCCACCACAGGTGATACCTGAACCCCCACACCTATCCAGGCCTGGGCAGAACCCTGGCCTCCTCACAAAGCCCTCCTTGTGGAAGTGGAGCTGCTGCCCATCTCCTGGAGTCCCTGCTGGGCACCCAGGCTGCAGTGAAGTTGGGGGGTGGTGAGGAGCAGAGCCTGGCATGCATGTGCACTGATGTGTGTGTGTGGTCGCACTCCTCACTAAGCTGCCTCCGGCCCTGGGAGCCACAGCCAGGCTGCCTAGCCCTTCCTGCCTGCTCAGGGAGATGCAGCTGCCCAGGGCACCATAGCCCCAGAGCTGAGCCCCAACTACTGAAGACACAGCTTAGCCTCTCAGCTAGCCTGGGGGGAGGGAGTATCCCATACATCCCTGCAGGAAAATTAGCTTTGAATGTTTATATTAGAAGCCAGAAAAGGCCTGACATATCAATAATCCTAGTTTCTACTTTTAGATGGTGGGAAAAGAAGGGCAGAGTAATCCCAGCGGCAGAAAGAAATAACACAAATGAAAGCAGAGAATGTTTTTAAAATAGAAGCAAACAGAATTAATGTATTCTAAAGTTGATTTCTATAAACAGCTATGAAGGCCAATGAAGGAAAAGAACAGGCACTCAACTCCAGCATAAAGACAGGTGCAGCAGCAGGGCCCTGCAGATACAGACAGGGAAACAGCCATGCTGCAAACAATGTTGTCCCAGGAAACCTGGCAGTTAAATGAATAATCACATTTCCTCAACAGTACAACTTATTCAAGTGGACAGGAGATGAAACAGAAAAGCTATTCAGCCCTTTATCCTTGAAAGTCATCAAATTCCTTATCACACGCCTTCCCACAAGAGGCCTCAAGTACTGGGAGGAGGAGAATCAGGCCAGCTAGCCGAGGGAGCCCAGGGCCAGCCCGGTCACTGAGCCAGTGAAGGCTGGAAGGCATCTTGGAGCCACAGGCATATGGGGATCCTCTGCATGTGGCAAGGCTGAGCCTGCTGGCGACTTCCTAGTCGTGACCCAGTGCAGTGGATGTGAGAGTGAAAGCCCTGCCACCTACACCTGCATCAGACGTGGTAACATTTCCTGACATCCAGGGCTTGCACAACAGCTCCCAGAAGGGAGTATGAATCAACGGCGGTCTGCAGAACCCTGGTGATCAAGGTGAGTGACGGGCATGTGGGGTCATTTTTGCTTGAAAGAACTGAGTTCCAGGGTAGAGCACCCCCTTCATGGGTGGCTGAGCCCCGGAGGAACAGTGCAGACCCTGCCCAGGCTGTAAACAAAGGTTCCCATTCAGCCCCTCCCACCTGTGTTCTCCGCTGCCCCCTGCCCACCACCCATGCATCCTTGAGTCTCTTCACTTGCCAGCACCTGCAGGGGCGCAGCCATGTCCTCATGGAGGACATCTCAGCGAGGATGGACTCCAACTCCAGATGCGACGTGCCACATGGCCACTGTGCACCCACTGCCTGCCTACCTGTCCTCAACAACACAGGTGCAAGGCCTGGCCAGCCAGGTGTGACATGGAGCACATTATTGCCCACAGTTTTCTAGGTGCAGCACCCTGAGGGCCAGTTGTGATGTTTATGCAGTAGCCACGCTCATCACAGAGGGAAGCTGCACAGGTTGCAGTGAGCTACTGACAGGGCTGGGGCCTGCAGTGGTGCGTGGTGGAGTTCAGCTTGCTTTCAAAGTCCTTTCTAGCAGCTTGCCCCTCTTCAAAGGACAACATAAAGTGGCCTCGGGGTACTCTGGGAACTTCAGAGTGGCCCTCCCTCTTCTCGGGCTCCCCACTGCCAGCCCCTTCCACTACCTCAGACCTGGCTCCCAGCTGTAGGTGGGGCCTCTTTACATGGGGATGAATGGCCAAGGCACACAGGTGTGGGCAGAGCCCATTGGGAGCAGCTCTCTGGGAGACTGCTGCAGAGGCCCCCTTCCCACCACCACCCCACCAGGAAGAAGGATACAGAGTAGGCAATGTACTTCCAACTGCCTGGCAGGAGGGGAATGACGATCCCAAAGGTGACAATGGACAGGGCCAGGTAGGTGGCCCAGGCCACTGCCTGGAAGGGGTGGAGGGGCAGTGACCAGCCATTCACCCTGGACAGGTGGCGTGGTGGGCTCTTCAGGCCCCTGGCCTGGGTTTCTGGGAAGACGCGTCGAAGGCTCCTGCTGAAGAGGTCCATCTGCAAGACAGAGAAGCCACAGAGGCTATCAGGCCCTGGAGGAGCAAGGACGGTCTGTGGGACCTACCAGCCATCACTAGAACCTCCTGGGCCCAGGGCCACTACAAAACACCTGGGGGTGGCTGGAGTGGGCTGGACAGCCCTGGGCACAGCCCCCAGGGGCTCTTGGAGCTGTGGAACCCAAGGGCACACATATGTTCACTTGGCCAGGGCCCCAGGTGGCCAGGTATATACAATTTCTGGGGAAGCCCTTGCCAGGCACCATAGCAAGATGACTCCTGGAGCTAGTGTATAAACATGCACTGACTCATCAGGGCCAGAAGAAAATGTAGCACACCACTGAAGCCACCAAGAAAATACAGGAAACACTGGATATTGCCAAATTAGCTGGCATTGCACTTTCCAGAAACCCCCCCTCGAGCACTTCCTCCTTTGCAAGTACTGCACAAGAACACAGCTAGAGGCCACACTGCAGAGGGCTCTGGTTATCCCTTCCTCAGAGCCCTGGGACCTCTGGACACTGCGGAGTTTCCCAGGTGAACAATGGAAGGAGGGGCTCTGTGGTCATTTCTGGCTTAGCACTCAGGATGGTGGCTGGCATTAGAGATAGGTATGGAAAACACCTTTGGCTGGGAGCTGTTAAAGAGGAGCTTTGCAAAAAGCTCCTTATGCAAAGGGAAAAATTCAGAAAGTGTAGCAGATGGAAGCACTTTAGGAAGAGATGTGAGGAACCTTCTGAGACTCTTGTCCCCTGTGAGGTGAGCATCTGCCTGGCTCCCTGGCATGCACTGTGGCTACTGGTCTCCTGTACTCTCTGAGTGACCCCAGGCAGGCATAGCCACAGGGCTGGGGCTTTGTGGTGGCTTGAATATGTCTGGGGAGCTCCAGGGGAGTGTGGCTATTATGAAGCTAGACCACAGTACTGGGGTAATAATGTGTACTGAAAATACAGCTTTCTACTAGATACAAAATCCAGATGAAAGCACCAATGGACAGAAAGATGTTGGCAAAAATCCAGATAGTACTCTGGAAGATCAATGGAATAGTCACAGCTGCCAGAGTGGCAAGGCAGACAGAGTTCTTGAACCAAATCCGCTGAAACCATAAACCAAATTGAACCTTTCCTTCTTTGAATTGTGATGTCAGGTTGTGTCCCATCAACAGGAAAGCTAATATAGAAAATTGTATCAGGAGTGGGGTCTTACTGTGCCTATACCTGACTATGTGATTCAGAAGCCTTTGTGACTGGTTTATGGAAGGAGTTTGGAATGTTTGGAGGTGCCAGATAGGGAAGTCCTGAGTCGCGGTAAGCAGAGCCCCATGGATGATCTGGTCAGAGTTCAGAAGACTAGAATGATACAGAAAGGCAGACAGTAAAGACCAAGCTCATGAGGTTTCAATTCTACTTGTATTAGAAGTCATGTGCACTAAACTTTGACCAAAAAATTGTCATATTTTGCTCCAATCCGAAGAGTGAGGGAGACTGAGATTAAGAGTGGTACACTAATTAATCTGGCATAGGAAAGTTCAAGGCAGCCAAAATAAAGGTTGTGGCATGGGCACTGCTGGCTTTTAGCCAGATTTATAGAGAGAATTGAGGTCAAAAATTGAAGCAGAGAATTTTGAAAAAAACTTTAAATTTGTCCCAGAAGAAACCATATGTAAGAGGTGTAGCTACTGAAGAGTTTAGTGCTTTGAGGATATCTCAGAAATCAGGAAGACTCCACCATCCCAGACTGAAGGGTACAAACAATCAACCTTTCATGTGAGAAGAGAGTCTAGGGCATCTTCCCAAGAAAGACCTCCTACTGAATTGGTTCCCTGGGATTCATTTCATTGTGCTCAGCCATCCAGGCACTCAGAGCCTACTGCAGCCATGACCCAAGGGGGCTTGGCTACTGCTTCTACTGACAGCAGACCTTGGCACTGTCAACATGTTGCCGTTTTAACCAGCATGACAAATGCAAGATTTGTTGGGTCAGGGAGGGTTCTACCCAGATTATAAGAAAGGCCAAGCAAGGAGCCCCTGAGAGCGAAGTATCCGAAGCTGTGGGAATGAAGCCAAAGGTACAGTGGCAACCCCAGAAACTTGGAGATGTCATAGAACACCTGCCACACGATGATATCCCACATGACACATGCACCACACACAGCACACATGCAGCACAATCCTGGACTCCTGTCGCTCTCTCCCTTCCTGTGATAGCGTCATGTCCCTCCACCCTACCTTGGTTCCCTGACTGCCTCCCTCCAGTCTGTACTCACCGAGTCTGGCTGGGGCCCTTTGTTTACTGTCCCAGAACACAGGAATTGGGGTATGTGATATACGACTGGCCCAGGAAGCAGCACTGTTGGGTTGGGTGGCACCTGGCGCCTCTCTGGCCCTTGCAGCTCACACCTTGTTCATAGTTCCCGCGCAGGCATCTATGCTGGATGTCACCGTAGTGGCCATTGGCCAGTGACACCATGGGGGCAGCACTCCTGGGCTTCTCACGTGCACTGCCTCTGCCAGTCCTAGGGACAAGTCTGGACAGCTTTGGCAGTGGGCCATGCTGTCTGCCTTTGAAGATCTAGAGACAAACTACCTCTGCACACACCTAACACCCCCACACACCCGCACACACCTCACTTGGGGCTCAACACCTTGATACTCAGCTGGAGACCAGATTCAGCCCACATGCCAGCCAGCAAGCAACCACCCTGGCCTCCCTTGGCACACAGCCCTCCTGTCTCAGCAGCCCAGAGAGCACACATCTGGACCTTCCTGTGCATGGCTCCCTTTTCTGAGCATCACAAGGCAGAAATTCTGGGACTCCTGAGGAGTCCAAGTGGATCATGCTGCTGGCTGTGGTGTCGACCTCAGGGGCCATGTCAGAGCCTCCATTGTGGGCCGTGGTTGGAGTGAGGTGGGAAGTAGCACCTGGCTACACACAGCACCTTCCCACCCTGACCTCTCACCTCTCCCACGGGCTGAGCAGCAAGGTCAGCCCCTCTCTCTGGTACCAGCCAGACTGAAAAGCAGCGAGGTCTAGGGCCCTGGTCCACCTGGCAGCCATGGAACCCAAGGCGCCTCACAGACCTGTTGTGGCAGCCATGGAGACACACCGTGGGGGAGGGGGCAGGGATGGGGCATCCAGCTCAGGCATCCTGTGTAGTGGGCCTCCAACCACTGGGAGGCTGGGGCTTGATCCCCATGCTTCCAGTCAGCCAAACCTACTTCCGGCCAGGTCTCGAGGCAGACATGCCAGCCTGGGCGCACCTGGCTACCTTCCTGACATGTGAGGAGGGCTCCATGGCAGGCTGGAGAACCCGTGTCCTCAGCCCATGTGCAAGGTGGCCTTGCACCCACCAATCCTCCTGGAATCCTAGGCTCAGAAGTTTCTGGCTCCCTAGTGTGAGATCTGTTGACCATCTGAATGCATGGTGGTGTGCCCCTGGGGGTGGGGTGGGGTGGTGCATACCTTTTCTGTCTACTGTAGCTTCCCTGGTGCCACCCACCATCCTGACCAGGCCACCTACAGTGCGTCATGTGCCAAGGCTGCAGTGTCTGTGCAGGTCACCATGTGGGTGACTGGCAGTAGCTGTGTCAGGCGTGGGGCAGGCACTGGAGCGTGGACCACTATGCTGTGGCCATAGGCCAGCAGGCACAGGAATGGCTTGCGTGGCCGGCAGCTGTGACTGCCTCATGCTCCCTAGGACCTGGGGCCTTGCTCTGGACAGCCTGGGGTGGGGGTGCTCAGAAGCCTCAGCTCCTTTCATATGCTGGGCCACAGGAGGACATGGGCCTCCTTCTCTGTACTTGTCCCTTCTGCTGGGCTCCAGCTTCTTTTATGGGTCAGAAGTGGGCTCAGTCCTGGTTCCATGCCAACCCCTCATGGAAACAGGCATCCCAGATGTTTCCCTGGGACCAAGATGGCCAGCCTGTACTCACACCTGCTGCAGAGGCCCAACAGCTGTGACAGTGGGCTGCACTGGCTTCCTCTGTCTGAAGATCTGGAGACAAAAATACCCTGCACACAACTACACACCCTCACGCACCACACCTGCACACCCACACATCCATTACCTGCACACTCACTTCCCTTGAACACTCATATATACCTTGCCTTTGCACACACGACTTGCACACCCCAACCGCACATATATTTTGCCTGTGGACTCACATCATGTGCACACATCACTTGCACACCCATACACTCTACTACACACTCTTCTCACTTTACACACTTCCTCACAGACCAAGAGCTTTTGGCATGACTCCTCTGCCTCCTCTTTGTTCCCAGCACTGAAGGCCATACTGTGAACCTGCACAGGTTCCAAGGTAGGGTTGGCCTCACCCTGGAGTCACAGATGCAGGGTCCCACACCTGGAAGTTCACACCAGCCAGCGAGGGCCAGACTGATGGCAGAACTTGCAGATGGGAAGTCTGCCTCAATTTCCACATCTGCAACAAAGCCTTGGGGCAGATGGGGTGCTGTGCTCCTGGCTCAACGGACACCAGAGTGGCTAGACTGTGGCGGGGGTCTGGGGCTAGCCCTGGGCCACACACCAGCAGACACCACCATACTTCCTATTTCCTCGACATGAGCAGACTGATGTGTGGGGCCTGGCGTGGGAGGCAGCCACGGGCTTCACAGCTCACCTTTGTTCTTGGGCTGTGACAGCTGCCCTATACCCCAGCTCTGGCCCTTCACAGCCCAGGCACAGCCTATGGAAGGATCAGGAACAGCCTTTCAGAGCCATACCCAGCCCCATGCAGTTGAACTAGCCATGTCTACTGGGGTCCCCTGAAATTCTCATTTCCTGTTAGAGATGTGCATGTGGCAGCCCTTTCATGCCCTGCTCTCGTCCTTGCCCCCAGTGACACTGCTCACAGAAGCAGCCACCTTGAGGCCATGAGAGAAAGGACCATGGGTCAGAGCCACTGAGCTGTTATGGTTTAAAACTAAAATGCTGCCAAAGAGGGAAGGGATGGATCACCTGGGTGTGATCCAAAAGGGTGTGTTCTCATCCCTGCTCCTCCTTGCTGTCCCCTGGCTGCCATGCCATTCTGCCACCATTTCCACCCTGGAGTAAGCTGACCATGGGCTGAATCTCCTGAAACCATGACCCAAATAAACCAGACTGCCTCCTAGACTGTGGGTGTCAGGTGTTGTGTCCCCATGATGGAAAGGTGATGAAGACACTCAAAGACAGCATCTGCTTTATTGCATGTAGGCTGAGTGGATGGGGCCCACAAGCTGTCACCAGGAGTCCAGAGGGTGCTTGATCCCGGGGAGCAGGAGCCCATTCTGGAAGGCTCTTCTCCATCAGGCTCCCTGGTTCTAGCTGGAAGGGGAGCCTGTGGAGAGGGGTGTGGCCAGGCTTGGGGGCTCAAGTTTCCTGAGATGGCATCAGGGGTCTTCGGTCCCTGGGGACTGCTCCCATGTCCTGGACACAGATGGTACTCTAATAAATTGTCACAGACCTTCGATAAGAGCCAGACTGCCAGGCAGAGGCAGGGTAGCTGCCCCTACAGCCACATCATTAGATCCCCTGTAGTAAGGCTGTTTAGGGGGAACTTGGCAGTACCCAATCTTGCCCAGAAACCTCACCAGTCAAGAACCAAGGGACAGCTGCCCACAACTGTACCCATCCCTACCACCCAGACCAGGCCCATTCTGTCTGCTACTCCACCAGGCAGCAGTGCTGGGAGGTCTCGTGGGCCAGTGCGCCTCTGGCCAGTTCCTTCAGCCAGGCCTCCTAAGCTTTTCCTGTAGGAACCCGTGTATTTCCTGGCCTAGCACCTGGATGTCAGTGTGCTGCCAGGCCTGTGTCAAAAGCAGGCTGCCCACTGGGGTCTCTTGATGGCACAGTGGACTGTGGATGAGGGAGGTAAGAGCCATGACCACAGAGAACAGGAATTTAAGACATGCCCTGGGCATGGAGGGCACCCACCCCAAGGACTCTGGGAAAGCTGTCCTCAGATACAGGCTTCCTGTATCCCTGAGGGGATGTCTGCCGGGCTGCCCACCACAGTGCGGTGATGCTGAGAGCACTGGCCACGTGTTGTTCCACCACTGTGTCTCCTAGCACAGCCACCACCGTGGGTGAGCATGAATGTTAGTCTGTGGTACAGGGCACGTGGGGCCACCCTAACTGAGGCAGGGTTGGTGTCCACTGCCTGAAGCTGGGGAGGAGTGGCTATCCTGAGCACATCTGGACTTCATGATAAAAACTTTCCAAGTGTGCAGTCAGGGCTACAAATCCAACACAGGAAACAGGTATGGTCCTGCTCAAATGTGCATGCAAACACCAAGCTCTAAAGTGAAAACACACCGTCCTACCAGACTACGGCCTGGCTAATCTCGTGTGCAGCTCCACTCTGTGCTCACACCGTCTCCGAGGGAGGCAAGTCAGGTGGGCACAGGGCAGGGGTGGGCACAGCACCAGCCACAGGGGGCTGTGTGGGGAGGCCAGACACTGAGCGTGAGCTCATACAAACAAATGTGCCCTCAGTGGCCTGGTGTGGTGTGCAGCGTCTGACAGAGAAGCTGTGGGATGTACACCCTGGTCTCCTTGTCCCCGAGAGACCACGGCCTGTGGATAACCCATGCCTTCACCCTGGTTGGCTCTTCTGATGTAGAGACCCTGCAGTCTGCACCAGGAGGCCTCCCCAGCCCTCCTCAGGCTCCACCCCAGAAGTGGCCAGGCATCACACATGAACCCAAGGGCAGAAGAGGGCGCCGGCACAGGGGGGCCCGTGTGTTTGATCTCACGTGAAATCCTCACAGACCAGTCTAAGCACCAACTGCCAGGGGCCACAGGGTTTCTCTTTAGGGTAATGAATGTTCTGGACCATGACAGAGGTGGTGGCTGCACAACAGCTGGAATACACTTAAGGCAATGTGACCGTGCACTTCAGAGCAGTCAGTTAGGCTTTATGTTATGCATTTTACAAAATTAAAAATAAAAAGGTTTTTTTTTGGGAGGCACTGAAGTTTGAACCCAGGGCCTTCACATTGAGCTACCCAAAAGCCTCTGAGACAGGTTCTTACTAAATTACTAGGTTGCCCAGGCCAGGGCTGAACCTGTCATCTTCCTGCCTCAGCTTCCCAAGACAGCTGGGACTACAGGCATGTAATCCAGCATGTCTGGCTAAAAATAAAAATGGCCTTGGGCCAATGGCCTTTGCTCCTTCATGGAGAAGGCATCAGGAAGACCTTGTTCTTGCCTCTCCATCTGTACTCACGGCAAGGGTTCAGTGGTCAGGGTGTGACCTTTCCTGTCTGCAGGGTGAGACGCTGCCCCCAGGAGGCACCTGTGCTCCCAAGTCCGGCCTTGCTGTCTATCCCAGAAGGCACGTAGCACGTGTCACACTGAAGTTATGTCTGGTGAGTGTGGACACTTCACAGGGCAGTGGCCCTGTTCTCAGGGCCTCCTGCAGAACAGGGCTGTTTGTCTGGGAGCCCCAGCCTTGGTCCTGCCAAGGGCTGGCCAGTGCAGTGTACAGCTCCGACACTGCCTCTCCAGGAGCCCTGCTCCAGTGCTGGCCTGGGGCTGAGGTGTGAGGTGCAGAGCCATGGAGCTCCAGGGCCAGGGCACAGTGGCTGTGCATGTGGCCAAGCTCTTGCCTCCTGGCCCTCTAGGGTATAAGTCTGGCCCTGCCTGACTCGATCACATGGCTCTGAGGCTCCTTCACCGACATCCAGAGGAACCTCCGTGGGATGCTGGGCGTCCAGCCACCTCTTGCCTGCCTCGGGCAGTCATGATGGTATCTGGCACGAGGTGCTACCCCATGGGTCCATCACAGCCTCCTCCGAGGATCAAGTGTCCAACCTCATCTTGCCCTCAGCTGGTGGGTTCTTCACACTCACATTACCACCATGAAGGCAGCCTGTGGGACACATAGGCATGCTGCATCACAGCTGGGCAGGACAAGCACATGCTCGCCAGCTCGCAGTCTACTTTATTGGCATGTGTCCAGAGCAGTCTGTGGTACACATAGGCATCCAACAAACACAGCTAGGCACAGATGTTTTGCTGTGCTTGACGCTGATCTCATGGCATTTGCTGCTTGTCTTCCAGTGAAACTCTCCGAGGCACAGAGGGCACAGATGCAGGCTGCCAACTAGCCTGTCCCTTGGCACCTAGGCAGCCCTCCATGCCTGTAGTCCACACCCATGTGGAGGGGCCCAGCTGGCTGGTGCTGGGGGCACTGCAGAGGGCATCACAGAGCTGCATGGCGGGCTGCAGGCTGCACCACTGTGTTCTTCACCAAGTGATGGCTACAGCGGCAATGCTGGGTCTCTGTGTGCCTGACACGAGGCATGACGGTACACACCACTCCCCGGGTCAAGCTGCAGGCCAAAGGGGACAGGTCAAGTCTTTCATGACAGACTTTACAAGCAAACCAAACTTACAAAACACAAGACACTTAAGACTACCTACAAACTAGTTCTTCGCAGAGGCTGCTGGTTCTGGAGACTGAAGGAATTCGTAAGGGTCGTGGGTCACATCCTGCTGTTCCCCAACACTAAGGCGAGAAGGGCTCCCTGAAAATTGCAGAAAAACAGGGCATTTCAACAGACACCATGGATTTGCAATGATGCCTGTATGACCACTGGAAAAGAGGATGTCCCCTCCTGGGCTCCCAGAGACCCAAGGCTGCCCAGGACCTGCTGCAGGCACTGCCTGGCTGACAGCTTGACCACAAGGTGAGAGCGACCCAGAGCACTAGTCCTCCTTGGAGGGCTGCAGCCAAGCCTCTGTGCCACCTCCTCAGAAAAATGTCAAGATTCATTCTGCCCATGGGGTAATTCAGTACTTACTTGTGAGAGCAAAAAAAAGAACAGTAGCTAGGTCAGGGTTGGCAGCTCAGGGAAGAGCACTTGCCTAGCATGCATGAGGCCCAGGGTTTCCTCCCTAGCACCAGAGAGAGAGAGAACTGAAGCACATTTAAGGACCCAAAGGGTAGGCATCCAGTGTTCTTGTAGCCAGAGGCTGCCAGGTGGCTCTGCCTCTCCTTGAGCTTATCCTATGGCAGATATAGTCACACACTCTCTCCAACAGAAACACATGGGGCCACCGAGAACACGGCCCTGGCCAACACACAGACTAAACTGGGAAGGGCACAGGTGCTGAGGACAGCTAGCTGACACAGCACCCCTCATCTCAGCAGCACCTGGGGGCACCTTGCTGTGGGTCTGCACTGACCCAGGAACTGGAGTTCACAGGACATGGAGGGCCATGTGTCAAAAGCCACGTGCATCCCTGGGCCTGATTCAGGGACACAAGCCAGCCTTTGTCCACCTCAGCTACCGTCCATGCTGCCAACAGCATGAGAGGCCCACCTGGGGGGTGCTGCTCCCTCTCGGAAGTGTTTGACAGAGAACTGAGGTTGGAGGATGGCCGGGAGCCACCTCGCTCTGCCTGTGCTTCATGCAGGTCTTGCAGGAGCTTCGCTGTCTCATCCAGGTTCAAGTGGCCATCATCATGGTCTAGGTCCTTCTTCACCTTCCCTATGTGAACAGAGGTGAGCGGATGGCCTGGACCACAGGGTCACTGTGTGCTGGATGCTGACCCTCTGCCCAGGACCACAAGCTCTCGTGAGGTAACTGCTGCAGGAGCTTGGGACAGGCTGCTCAGCTCAAGGACAGCAATGGTCAGACACTGGCCTGAGGAGCAGTGCCCACCACCCTTGCATAAGTAGAGCCACAAGGAACCACAGCCACCCGATGCACAAATGCCACAGGGGGTCCTGGGCACAACACCAACCTCCTACTCTCCAAGATGAGAAAGCTACCAGAGTGGGCAATAGCGGCCACCCCAGCTCGTGGCCAGTGTCAGACCTAGAGGCCAGGCTGAAGGTCAGAAAACATGGGTGACCTGGACAGTGCAGGACTGTGCCCTCCCCAGTCCTGAGATGAGCCTACTGCAGAACTACTCGGCCCAGCCTGCTTCCAGCAGCCTCCAATTGGCCTCCACAATCATCTTCTCAAGGTTAATGGGTGTTCAGTGTTTTATGGAACTCGAGGAACCTAATATACCACAGCACCACTGGGATAGTGGTGGGGCACTGCTAGGCTTGTGTCTAGATGGCCCCCAAAGCCTCATGCAGTTATTTAAAATTCTTTTTTTTTTTTTTTGGTGCCAGGGATCAAACTTGGGACTTTGCACTTGTGAAGCAGGTGACAGCACCACTGAGCTAAATCCCTAGCAGCCTCTTGCAGTTGTAAGTGGACCTTTTTCAGAGGTGGCTGGAGCTACAATGTGGGAGTGTGAGACGAAGCAATGCTAGGCTCAGAGGAACTAGGATTAATGGTGTGAGTGCTGTCTGCCCTAAGTAGTCTGGATAAGATAAAAGGGGCAGAAAGACGCTGTTAAGGTCCCTTGCTTGCTTTTGCTGCCTCTGCCTAAAAACTGCTTTTTTTTGTAAAAGATTCCTGCCATGTACCCCTCTGCCTTGGAGACAACGAACTACGGGCTGAACTCTCTAGGAACTACAAGCCAAATAAACTTTTCCTCCTTTAACTTTGGGTGACGAGTATCTTGTACCAGCCACGAGAGAAAAGTAACTAAGACAGGCATCCATGTGAGAAGCCACACAGGAAGCGCCCAGGACTCACCCAGAGAGCTAAGCATGGAGATGTCCAAGGAGACGTCAGAATATGACTTCATCGACATGAAATCCAGAACAGAGCCACCACTGTCTCCCAGAGAGTCCCCAACCTGCAAAAGACCAGACACACATCAAGCTTAAATGATGCCAAAATACACTTAATGAAAAGTGCTACTTCATGCCAGCGGCAGCAGTCACTGCACTTTGCAGTGTGGGACAGATCAAGCCCTGGCCCCTGAAGCTGCAGTCCATGGCCAGGGCCTTGGGTCATGAATGGATGTGCAAGTGCACGTCCGGAAGCATTGACTCAGAGCAGCACAGCTGCAGGAACTGTGCTAACAAAAGAATAGGGGCACCATCATGCCTGAGAAGACACCGAATCTCAAGGCCCAGGACATTTTCGAGGCATGAGGTGGCAAATTCCAAACTCAAGGCTTCCTTCCCTCCTCCTCGAGGGGAACCCCAAAGAGGGAGCCAGCAGCTATCCAGACTATTCCAGCCACTTCCCTGCTGTCCACCTGCTCAAGCCATGCCAAGGCCTCTCTCCAAGTGCCCAGGGACCCAATCCAACCTTACACCTGTTAGGGAGGAAACACACTCCACTGCTGACCAGGCTCTGTTGCACGCCACACCTGCCTGGCAGCCCCCAATCTCTGACAGCACCTGTGGAACTGGTATTCTCAAATTCTTGTTTCTGGACTTGGGAGGGAAGTACTGTAGCTCCACCCCATCCCCTCTATTCACCCAAATGGCGGGTGGGGAAGGGCACTGCCACTGAACATCACTCCTCAGACACGAGCCAGCTGCCAGTGGATGACAGGCCCTGATGCACCACGGCCAGGGCTGACGTGCCCTCCCTGCAAGAGTCGAGGGCTCTTACTGGCTTGAGAAACCCACCTTCATTTCGTCCACAGCTCGCGCAGGCACATTTCTCCTCTGGAAAGAACAAAGCGGACACCAGTTTGTCCACAGCAATTGTACATGAAGGGCAGTTTGTTGGGCTGCACACACGTACATAAACACATATACACACGAAATTACAATGGCTCATTCTTGGCCTGGGCCCTGCTACTCACAGCCTTGCTATGCCTGTGGGCGGAGGGGTCTCGCTAGGCTCTTCAAAATGTAAGGTGGCTGTGCCAGAGGGGCTGGCAGGGTGGGAGGAGGGTGTGGGGGCAAGTGGGTTCCCAAGGCTATTAGCAGCTGAGGATTTTTAAAATAAAAAAGGGCAACTCGGAGGAAAAAACAGGCCCAGTGGTTTAAACTCAAGTGTGACCAAGTGCAGAGCCTGGTGGAGCTGTGGGGACAGGCGCGCTGGGACAGACGGAGCCCTGGCAGCACCTGCACAGGTGGACAGAGCTGTATGTCCTCCACAGCACCCTCGTCTTGCGCTCCAGCAGAAGAATTCCCTTAAAAATGCCTTAGTTTTGTGAACATTCTTCAGACACAGGCATTCAGCATGCACACACAAATCTATGATCTTTTGTCTCAAAAGAACAGCTCAGATTGTGACATTGTGATTTCTACCAAATTTTCATCAGAAATGTGGCCGTTATTTTAAGGAAGGTCTGTTTGCTCATAAAAGCTTTCTGCTATACCACATGCTTTATCATTTAATTTGGTGGAGCACCTGGAATTATTCAACTTCAACTCCAGATTGCTCACTCTCTGAAAAGTGGCTGAACTGGGGTCCACAGCTAGCTGACAGAGTGACCACGTGTCAGGGCCACGGGGAGTGGCCTCACTTGTTGTACTGCAGGCCGGGCAATGTTGTGCTCTGAGCCTGGCTTCCCACCTGCACAAGGACGGGGCCAGAGCAGGTGCTGAGCTCATGGCTGCAGTACAGCTCTGAGAGGACTGGCGCCGACAATGGAAGACTCAGGTCAGAACCACAGTGAGCACTGCGGGCCAAGCACTCTGACAGCCCTCAAAGACAGCACAGAGACCCCACAGGAAGCTTGGGCCACCGGAAGAGACCCATGGTGCCGCTCCTTAGCGCCGAAGCCAAGCTACCCCACCACAAAGGCCTGCTGGGCCAAGTGATGCCCAATAAACTAACTTCCAGCCTAAAGAAATGTCAATAGCCTTTGAAAGACAAAAGAATCCAACCAGTCTTGGGCTAGAGATAGAGCTCCGTGGTTCAGTGCTTGCCCACCATGCACGAGGCCCTTGGTTTGATCCCCATGACCCAGGTGGGAGAAATTCAACCAGCCCTGCCCAACAGAAATACACTGTAAATACACATCTAATTTGAAATTCTCTAATAGCACATCAAAAATACTCTTAATTAAGCGTAATTAATTTTGGGGGGAGGTACCGGGGATCAAATCTGGGTCCTTGTGCTTGCGATGCAGGCGGTGGAACCACTTAGCTAAATCCCCGGCCCTAGAGTAATTAATTTTAACATTTACTTATCTGATACACAGAAAACATTTGTATCCTAATATAACTCATGTAAAATAGTTAATCCATTTTTTTGTTTGTTTTCTGTTGGTCTTTAAAGTTCTCGCTCACATCTAAATTCCAACATGCACATTCACAGTTCTCAGAAGCTGCACGTGGCTGGTCTACACAGGTCTGAGCACCAATCAGAGCTGTGGGGTGCGTGGGAGCAGCCAAGGACGAATGACAAACCCAAGGCAGGTCCAGGGATGAGGGTTTCAAAAGCAGCCACAGTAAATGTGATGAACGTGCTCAAGATTAAAAGGAAAGATGAACAATGCAAGAGCATGGAAGATGCAAAAAAGAACCAAATGGAATCCTGGAGATGAAAACTCAGGAAGGGTGCCACACACGATACCCATGTGACAAGTTCCTCCACCAGGTGCTGGACACTGAACTCAGGACCTTGTGCTTGTGAGGCAGGCAGCAGAATCACTGAGCTAAATCCCCAGCCCCAGGTAACTAACTTTTTAAAGCAAAAATTAAAACCAGTAAGAGAAGAGCAGCCTCAAGTCACTCTTCCCTGGGAACCAGTTGGGTGGGGTGGGCTTTTCCACAGGGGCAAAGCCCCAAGTGAGGCAAGAACCTGCACCACTGCAGTGTCCCCCACGCAGCCCACCTGCTTCAGCTGGAGGAGCATCCGAGAGTGGTCTCCGCCTGTGATCTGGTCTAGGAGATCATCCACCATCTTCTTGCTGTAGCTCCCAGCATCTTTCACGAACTCCTGAAGGCTGGAAGAACGTAAGACAGGTTGACAAGGCATATCCCTAATCTGGAGCCCTTAGCTGCCAGTGATGGTGGTCCTGAGCAGCGGCCACCGTCCATGCCTGTGTAGTGCCTAGGGGCACTATACAGTAAGCTGAAGGTGGACTCTTGGCTTTCATTAGACCGTCACTGTGGCCTACAACCAAAGCTGGGTGAAAGGCTCTTCAGGGAATTTTGAAAACAATGATGGGAAGTAGTGTAGACACAAAATGTGCACACAACCCATATGAAAGTAATACCAGCACATAACTTCTGCAGATGGAGGGTCCCCACACCTCCTGGTCCAGGATCTAAATGACAAGCAAACTGGAAGGATGCTGAACTGAGTGCAATAGGTGGGGCAGTACCAGTGCATTAATAAACTCCAAGAAGCAGGCAGGGAAAAACAACCCACAGTCTTAGAATCACTGCACCAAGCATGGCTCAAGGGCTCCACAGATTTCAAAGGCCTGGAGGACAGGAGGAACACGGAGGGCTGCTAGGAAGTGGCGATCCCAAGGAACCCAGGCCTGAACCAGGGATGCTAAACTATGACTGCAGAGGACCACGTGGCCCCTCTCAGACGGGAATAAAGGCCTGCACGGGGTCTTCAGATAGGCAGTGAAGGTAAGCTCTCCTTCTAGGAGAGCTGGTCAGGACACACAGGCTCGAACAGAGGGAGGATCAAGGAGGAGACAGGGAGAAGATGGCATCTATACCAGCCAAACCAAACGTCCTCACACCTAATCTCAGACTTCCAGCCTCCAAGGCTATGAGGATAAACACTGTCCATACCCCAGCTGTAGAACTTTGTCACAGCGGCCCTAGCTGACTCACATAACCACTAACAAACACATTACAATATGACTGACACAAAAAAGCACAATCAGTGAAATACAGAGACTCTTTATAAAGCTGCAGCCTGGATCATCACCAACTCAAAACTAGGAGGGGCTGGGTATTTAGCTCACTGACACCGCACCTGTCTTGCAAGCACAAGGTGGTGAGTTCGGTCCTCAGTACCGGAAAACAAACAAACAAACAAACTGTGATTGAGTTATCTGCATTTCAACACAGCCTGTGGCAGGTCAGGGTGGACAGCTAATCATGTGGAATTTCTGCTGCCCTTTTGCACCTGTGGCCTGTCTCCCTGCAGGCACAGAGGTGGGCCCTAAACCACACCCTGGGAAACTTCATGCACCGCACAGCAAGGGGGCTCCCTTGCAGGCAGGGCCATCTGCGAGCCAGGCTCACCTCAGCGCACACTGCACACCCGTCTCATCCCCGTAGGCCGAATATAGCAGCTCCATCTCATCCGACTTCAAGTCACCAAACACAGAGTTATTCTGCATGGAGAGGCCAGTGCTGGCATTGGAGAGGAACGTGACTAAGGAGGAGAAAACAAGGGGCACCATTTCAGGCTCAAGGGCACCCAGCATGCCCACATGCAGTTCTCTTTCTGGTTCCCCGCCCCTTATCTCCCCGTCTCCACAAAGCACTCCTAGTGCCTCTGCTACCAAAGGGGCACAATCCCTGCTGGCAGATGCTGCAGGAAATGAGCCTAACGGGCTGGTTTTGCCCAAGGACATGGAATGAGTCCACTTAACGGAGGCCCAAACACAGGAGAATTTCAACACCCACAGCAAAAGAAGAGGGTCCCAGAAAGATACTCAAGCCCAGGCCACAGCTATCCAACCTCGGGGAGATGGCACATTTCCAGGGAGCTGCCTGAGTGGGGTGACCCACCACAGCATAGGCAGGGCCTCACAGGGAGCAACAGACAGAAGAAGGGGAAAAGCGGGGACACATCCTGATCCCTAGAAAGGGTGTTCTGAAAAAGATCCAGGGACAGTAAACCAAAGGAAATGCTAAATCCAGGGGGTGTGAATCAAAGTGTTCACTTTACGTTTCTAACACATTTCTGCACCTCAGATAAAGTTAGAAAACACTTCACTGCAGGTCATCCAGATCTGAACTGAGATGGCTACACAGCCTCCGAGTAGGAAGAAATGTTCCTCCCCAGAGAGGGCCAAGGAACCACTGCCTGGCCACCAGTCTCACAATACGTGCACTGGAGCACACTCACACCAAGAAAGCTTACCACAAGCACACATACAGGAAAACATGCATCCCCAGACCAAGCAGAGACACTCATGCGTGGACGAAAATACGCATGGACAAAAGAAAAGAGCAAAGAAAGAACTTACTCAATATAATTTTTATTCCCATTACTTCAACCAGTCCTAATTTTAAAATCTGAATCCAGACACAGCGAAAAAAGTCATGTGAGGAAACTCTTGAAGGGACTGGAGATTTCAGCACCTGCAACATCAGACAGGTCCCCCCAGACTTTGGGGGCTCCTCCACATTTACCTTTGTTTCTCCTCTCATCTTTGAAGCCCAACGTTGTAAAGCCCGGGAGCAGCTTGCTGGAGAGTGAGCTCAGGTCCACAGGGTGCGTCTCCTCTTCTACAGGGGACATGAGAGGTGTGAGGGGTCACATTCACTCTTCAGCACAGGGAGCAGGGGGACAGAAGACAGAGACTCTAGAACAACCATCTCAGAACCAGCTTACAAAGGGTAACCAGCATCCCTCAAGGTACCTGTACCAATTTCACTTCACAAGTAGCTAAGGTCGATAAAATGAAAATATGTACCTCTGGCCATCGTATCAGCAGTGTTTAATATTTCCAAACTGCCAGCTCCATACTGCAAGGAGACCTAGCCCACCTGGCATCCAACTGTTTGCTTGTCCACCCCAGTGCAGGCGTGCTACGCTGTCACACCACAAGCTCCCATGGACCTCAACTCCACATCACCTCTCTAATCTGAGAGCTAGGCACCTCATCTCTATGAAGAACACACTGCATTCCTGCTAAAAGTGATGAGCAGGAGACCATGAATGGAAGGCTAGGGGGAAGGAGAGCGGCCCACCTCTTGGTGAGATGATGGCAGAGCAGGGAGCCTCAGCAGCCTTGCCAATGCCTTTTCCTGCCCAAGGGTACCTAGGGGTGCACCTCAGTCCCACAGGCCACATGTGAGGACAGCCTCTGTCCTCTCCGAGATGCTGCGTGTGACTGTGCTTCTTCCAACCACTGACCTGCCACAGTGTTCCCACCACCAGCATCCCAGCAGCTCCCAGGGTGTAGCCTCACCTGCAGGCTCTACCCACTTGGGGGCGCCGCCAAGGGCACACATAGGAGGCTGCAGGGCTGCTCTGCTGTCCTTCACAGCAGCGTGGGTACATGAATGGGTCTCTGGCCATGAGGTCAGAGGCCGCCTACAGGCAGCAGAGAGGTGGCAGGGCAGGCACTCACCCTCGACATCAGGCTCAGCCGCATTCACTACACTGTACAGCAGGCTTCCGTCTCCCAGCTTCTTCAGGTAGCCCATCTGTAAGGGAGTTACACGCTGAGCAGGCCCTCTGTGAGCCAGCCCAGCGCCTCCTCCTCACATGGGCCCTGGACTGAGCCTGTCTGCTGCACAGTGTGCAATGAGAGCACTGCTCAGGATGTCGGACCTTCCACACAGTACTTCCAAAACAACACCGTTACTGTCCCTAGGCCCAACCAAAGCGAGCTGGGCAAGTGTACCCGTGGACAGCATCACATAGAATGGCCAGCCTGCAGGCCACTGAGAAGACCCCGGGAGAAGATACACCCATGTAGGGAGGGACATGAAGGACTGTACACGTGTGGGGCAGGAGGCAGCTGCGACATGGTGCACACGAAGCCCTAGACACACGGGGAAAGGCTGCAAATCCTGCAGAGGGAGCTTGGCCTACAGGGAGCCTAGAGGGCAGGGCTTCCACCAAGCAGTGGGGTGACAAGTTGGCATGTGTCCCTGACCACGTGCAGAATTCGGTGTAAACACAGCACACAATACTCATGGCAGCCCTGCCATCGGTCGTCTGGGCCCCTAATGAGGAAATGGGACCAGGAACAAAGCGCCAACCAGCTCCTGGCCTGGATGCTACTGTGATACTCCATGTCCCACGGTGCAATGGTGGCAACCAGACTAATGTCTGTGCCTGGCGTCAGAGTCACATGCATGCTTGCAGCCAAGTGGCTACCTTGCCTCCTGGCAGGAACCTGTTGATCCTGTCTCGCGCCTCGTCGGCTGCGTGCTCCACCAGCGCCAAGACGTGCTCCTCCGCGGTGCTGTCCGTCAGGCTGCAGGCATTCCCTTCGGGCTCAAACATGCAGCTGCAAGGCAGGGGCCGGGCATTACTCAGGCACTGCCCTGTCCCACAGGTCAGTCCCCAGCCTGGCTTCTACCCACACTCCCCACACATGGCTTGCAGTGATGTGGGGTGACCCCTGATGCCTCTGATCTCAACAAAACAGCCTGCCTTCTTGGAATGAGGAGTCCGTACAGGCCAGCACCCTCCTAATTTCCACTTTTGTCACCATGAGAACAAAAGAAGTAAAGTGACGGACACTGCATGATTCAGGCATCAAAGCTTCCTCAGGAAAAGCAGCATGACACCCCTTATGGGTTGGGTAAGGCTGAGAAGTTGCTCAGGGATCCCCACAGAGCAGTTTCACTCCAACAGCCAACCGCTTCTGGGCATAGTGCCGGAGGAGATACCCGCCTCCTATGGAAGGCAGAGGGGTGGTGGTACCTCTCTGCCCTGAGAACAGGCCCTGCCCTGAGCACCCTGCCAAGTCACCCCACAGTGACACCCTAGAAATCTGCACGGCAAGAAGGTGTTGTTAAGCCATGGCTCAGGGAACCTTAGCACTGGGCCGGAACATGTGTGGTCCATGACACAACAGTGTGGGGTGAATGTCAGTCCTGAGGCCCAGACTGAGGTTTGCAGACTCAGAATAAACACTACAGTTCTGCCACTGACCTCATGTGCTAGATGGCAAGACTCTCTCTGTAGGTCCGAGGACCACGAGGACCAGGAAGACCACTGTCTCCCATATCCATGGGTGCTCTAGTTGCCAGGACAGTGGCAAGACAGAGCAGCAGCACGTGGTGGGTGTCCAGACCACTACACCAAACTGTCTGCAGGCACCTCTGAGTGAAACGCTGACAGGGCCATGCAACATGGTCCCCGTGGCCTTGGCTGGGCAGCTGCTGGTCTGGGAAGGCATTCCAGCCCAGGCTGCACGTAGGTCTTCCTTGCCCCCCCTTCTCTTGGTGGCACGCCTCCCACACACCTTACCTGATGACTTCTCTACTCGGCTTTTTGGATTTCTTGGCAGTTTCTACTTGCACTGGGACAACCTCAGGAACAGGCTCCTCAACGGCCGTGTCCTCGCTGCCCAAGAGAGCCGCCTGCTGAGAGAAATCCATGTCCTGCATAAACGACATGCTGCGCTTCAGAGCTAACAGCCGCTCCTAGAATCAGAAAGGAAGAGCAGCAGGACTTTACCTCTCCCTCAGCCACGGAGCCTGACGATGGCATGGGATGGATGGCCATGCCTCCCCCACCTGACCTAGTGCCCAGGCGCTGCTGCTGGCTGCTGTGGGGCTTGGTGCCAAAGGCACAGCCCAGAGCTTGTAGAGGGGGACAGCCAGAGCACAGTCAGTGCCCTCACTTCAGGGGATGCATGCTCCTGGCTCACAGCAGACTGGACCCACTCAGGACAGCCAGGAAGACAAGCATGTGCCACCTGGGTTCCAGGAGGATGCCACAAGACAAACTTGCAGGACAGGGTGCAGCCCAGTGAGCCTGACCCCCAGACCTAGTACTTTCCAGTCCCAAGGGAGGCAGCACTTGAGTCACAGGCAGGGGCAGGGGGCAGCGCGTGAGGAGAGGGCAGCCCTGGAGCAGGAGGTCAGCCTGGGGCGTGGCATGATGGAGCATGTCATTCACGTGAGTCTGATGGGCACAGAAAGTTAGAACACAACTCTGGCTCTTGGCTCGCTGTGTTAGTGGGTTTCTTACTTTGCTCATCATCTTAAAGCCTGCGTGGAGGATCTTCTTGGCTAACTTGTAGTATACAGTGTCTGGTCTATTGTAGGTCATTGCATTATCACACATCAGTTTGAAATCTGCCTGAGAAGAAACAGAAGGATTTTGTCAAGTTTGAGATGCCACACAGAAAACAGCAGAGTTCTCTACTCCTGTCAAGAGGCCAAGGGAAAGGCTGAAATTAAGTGGAAAAGAAAGCTGCTCTTTAATCTAACAGGAACTTTTAAGAATGCAGAGATTTTGAAGCTGTTCACGGGTCAATTGTGTGAAAAGTTTTCTAGGAAAGGCTGGTCAAAGTCTCTGGCATTTGAGCATAACACACACATTTATGAGAAAATGTATATATCCTGTGCTTCCTCCCTCCATGAGCTCCCTCTTGCTTCATCAGGGACCCAGAAACAACAGGAACAAGAAGTAACACATCTGAATTTATAGAGATACCTCAAAAAACTAGGATTAGAGGTCCCATTTGACCCAGCTATTCCTCTGCTGGGTATCTTCTCAAAAGTATTCCTACAGCAATATATATGCACCCATGTTTATAGCAGCAGTTTGTAACAGCTAAAACTTGAAAACAGCCTAATTGCCCATCAAGTGGAGACTGGATAAAGAAGACGTAGCTTCTTAATAAAATGGAGTACTATTCAGCCAGACAGAATGAGAAACTAGAGACATTTATAACTAAATGGATGCATATTGAGGCCATACATGAAATAAATAAGACACACGTGTAAATACCGAAGTTTCTTTGGTGTGAGACACTGAACATCTAAATAAGGGTGAAAATGTATAACAGATAATGTGAAATAGGAAGAAAAATAAGAACCAATATATATCACATAAAGGTACAAATTCCCAATGATGAACGTCATCATATTGTATACCTAAAATGTACCAACAAACTTAATGAATAAAAAAAAAAAAAGAAGAAGTAGTAACACATCTGGCATCTGGCATGTCCTCTACCTCTGGTTTTTCCATCCAGAATTTAAAATTCTGTCTACAGAAAAATACCTTTTTGAAAATAAGGACAACCTAACACTTTAAGATAAAAAATGAATTTCCTTAAGAAATACTACTACTTAATTGTCACCAATTTCTCAGGAGATGCCTCTAATAGGCAAGCTGGAATTAGTATGGAGATGCAGGCCCCATCTGCGAGTACCCTCGCCATGTCACTGTTCTGGGCCCCACAGTGCAAGCAGGACAGGTCTCACTCTACTGGTTATGTGATGGAGGGACACTGTTCACCTCATGGGTCTGTCACTCAGAGTGACATGCAGGGGGCACAACTAGGAAATTGAGGGCCTGGATGCAAACGCTTGACAAGCTCCCCTCCGACCTCGCCAGGCTCTTCTAAGGAATGTGACTCCCCCACACCCCTTAGGCTGGCATGTTATTTCTCAGTCAGTAAACGTCTTCACTAATCACGAACAGAAAGACAAGCTTTTCCAGAATCACTCAACCCACGAAAGAAAACCAATGCCCCTCCTAATACTAATGGCAACATCACCAAGTATTCCTTCAGCCTTGAGCCTTGCTGCCAAGCCAGTAAGCACTTTCTAATTTGCCTGGCCAGAACAAAGAAGCAGAGTTAAAGTGAAACAAGAGATACAAATATTCAAAACATAATAAAATTAAATGCCTAATTTTTACAAAACAAGCTAAAAATCAGGAAAATCATGCTTCTAAACATTTCCATTCTTGAGCCAGGCCAAACTAGATACATCACTGACTGATCTACACCAATATAGTAACTTTAAAAACAAGAAAAGAGGAAACCCATTTGTGAGAGCACACAGCATGCAGCTTCTCGGAAACACAGAGAAAACGTTTCCAACAAACATGTATCCCTGACTTCCATGAACCATCACCCAGACAGAGCTGCCATCCAACTGCAAACAATGAGAGGTGAAGGAAATGTTTACCCCCCCCCATGCCGCTTTGTCACAATTGTTTCAGAAAATGAAATTAATTTACCTTAAATTCTGTGACTGATTTGTATTCATTAGCTACGATTTTGTCTTTCATTGTGCCAAAGTCCATTGGATGCTTTATTATCATTGAATATCCAGGAGCAATTGCATCCGTCACAGGAAAAGCAAAAAATCCATGAGGGTCTTTTCTGAAAGCAAAGACAACTTTAAAGTGGGAAATTCTAAAGGCTAGATTTTGAAGTGACACAAAATTCATTACAATCAAAAGTTTAATACAACTGACCAAGTTTTAATTTTGGTTAAAAGCAAAAAATAACTTTAAAAGTTTGTGTAGGTGTCTGATCTGATACATATCCCATTATCAGTGTCCGGGCTCTAGCCCTGATAAGGAAGACCAAGACAACCCTGATGTCTGCCTCATCCCACTATGGACGACCTCCAGGGCAGAGCTGAGGAGTCCATGGCCCTTCTGCCTGCCGTCCAGCTAGGAAGTCCTGGCTTTTGCTTCATAGTGTTTGCCCACCCCAAGAGGACAGTTGCTAACTACTTAAGGTGAAGCCTGCATCCCAGGTGATGGGCTGGGGGTGGGAGTAACACCTCAGAAAGGAAGGTGTCGCCTCACAGGTCCCCAGACAGGCCCTTCTAAGCACCAAGGTGAGGCATACCTCTGAAGCTGGCGGAGGAAGTGCTCCAGGAGCTGCTGAATAGGTGTGCTCTCATTCTCAGCTAGCAAATTAAAAAGAAAACAATCAAGTTCAACAGATTCTAAAATTACTTTTCTAAAGAATCTCAATTTCAATTCTTAGTTACATTTGGAGTTCTACAGCACTGTATGCCCAAGGAAGAACTGAAGACTTGAAGTTAAACCCACAACATAGCTCCCACGAAGCTTGGTGGGTAGGGAAGGATCCACCACGTCAGTCCAAAAGGCCCTCAATTCAGTCTCATGGAACTGCTACTCATCAAGCTGTTCTCAGCTCCCACCATTATCAAACTGGGTATGTTCTAAATCAGGTACAGCAGGAACAACGGCTTGGACACACAGGCTGATCCTGGATTCCCTTTTTGTTATTTACCAGAGATTGTTCAACCTCTGGTCCTCATCTACAGTATGGGAATGCACACACCACACAGGGGTTCTTCTGACAGCTGCAGCTGTCAACTTCATCTCTGGGCCCACTGTCAGCCTGACAGTGATACTCCTCATTGAGCAGGGTCTGCCCCAAACTGCCATAGGAATCACTAACTCTGAGGTATCCCAAGGGTAGGAGACGGACAGGCCACCAAATGGGCAGTTAAGCAGATCAAACTGGCGATTTTCAGCAACTGTGCTAACTCTATAGACAGGTCTGTCTGACTGCTGTTTCGTGTCTCACTTTCCTTATCAACAGGCCCAGGATCCACCCCGAGTGCTGCTGTTCACCATGGCAATGATCTTCACAAGGAGAGGAAGCACTAGGAAGTGGTACTCCTCTCCACAGGTCAGCAGCAGCAGCTACCACCAGCCCCTAAAAATCAGAGGGGGCCATGTCCACAGTCAAAGGAAGATACTCTGAAAAGTGGCCACAGAGACCAAGAAGCTGTGAGCACCACAGTACTTTCCCTTGGGTGAGCCAGCACATGCACATGGCTTCTGATGGCAAGAATAACCAATTCCAGCTCTAGCCTCCCTCTGGCCTGTCCCTGATGTCCTACATTCCAATCCCCAGCTGTTTTGTTTTTCCTGCCCCCCAAGAACCAAGAGACCCTGCAGATCACTAGAGGGAGACAAGACTTTCCTCAGCACAAAGCCTCGGCAGATCCTATATAAGTAAACTTGGGCCATGAAGATTACAGTCGTGGGCTGTACACTGCCAGTAGAAATTAGCCAAACACCATGGCATAAGGTACCCGGGAAAGAAATTTTGCTGAGGACCCAGCTTCTTCCATTCCCACCTATCACTACTTGAAAGGATTCCAGATCCCTGCTCTAGACAAGAGGAACCCCAGATCCAGGAGACACTGGTGTAGGAAGAGAGATGGTACCAGGCAATGGGCCCTAGTGCCATGCATGTCTGACCAGAGTGAGCCCTGGGACCAGGGAAGGATCTTGCCTGGCTGGGTCCGGCATGCTCGCACTGGCCGGTCTGGGGGAGGCTCCACCTCCACCTTCTTTCCAGGGTCGAAATCTTCAGCCTCTCCTTCTGTGTCACAGTGCTCTTTCTCTCGCTTGCGCTTCTTCTCTTCCTATGGAGTCAGAGGAGTGAGAGGCAGGGCAGCTGGGTACACCCAGACTAGAGAGTGCCCCTATACTGTCTTACAGCCCTCTCTCTCGGGAACCCTTCCGGGATGCACCCACATTGGACAGCATGCCCCTGTCATTCCGCAGCCTCCTCTGCTGCGGATCCTCCTGAGTTCCTCTGCTCCTGGATCCCCACCAAAGGGACAGCCACAGGCAACCTGTGACCCTGGCCGGGTGGCCGCTGATCCCCTTACTTTCCGCTTCCTCCTCTCCTCATCATCAAGATGCTTTTCCTTCTCCGCCTTCTTTTTCTTTTTCTTCTTCTTTTCCCGGTGCCTCTCCCGCTCGTGGTCTGACCTGTCGTCGTAGTAGCTAGAGTCGTGGCCGGACCCCGAGAGCTCGGTCACCTCACTGCCCCCAACCTTGAGCACCAGCTTCAGCGGCTTCTCCAACGGCGCGTCCGCGTAATCTGCGAACATACAGAACCACAGCATCTTTGGTGAGCCGTGCGGACCCGGTGGAGGACAGGTGCCAACTGATGGTGCCAGGAGGCGGAAGTCTTCTCCCGAGCCCGCCCCAGCAGGCGGCTTCCTGCCCGCCCCTCTGGCCCGCCCCCGGCTCCGGTCGCCGCACCCTCGTAGGACGAACGCCACTCCGCTTTGTGCTTCTTGTGCTTCTTTCCCATGGCTGAGACTGCAGACGTAGACCACAGACCCAATGGAGCGCCCCAGCCAGGGGACCGGTTTGCGCATGACGGAAACGACCGCGCCGCCGAGCACTTCCGGGTCGGGGAGCGGGGTAACGAGAGCTTCCGGGTCAAAGGGCGGCGCGCCGCGCGCGGCAGATTCGAAGCCCTGTCGGACTGGGTGGCGCCGAGTT